AAATGCAGCCCCAAGGGGAAGCCAGTGCTGAGTGCATGAGAAGTTCCACCCTCTGTCCTGGAGGGACTGGTGGCCAGTGTGGGAGATGTGTGTGACAATCACAACCAACCATCACAGGAAGACAAGACCAGGGATATGATGGAGGCTTGGGCACAGTGTACAGGGCTTCAGAAAGGCCTCTCCCCTGAACCCTTCCACCACGAAGCCTGCCCGTGCCACTCACGTGGTCCAGGACATATGGTGCACAGGAATCTGTACCCACTGGACTGTGAGATGCCCACAGACACACAGCTAAACCCTCCCTGCTCCAGCCGTCCTCCAGAGCTGAGCTGGGCTGCTTCTCCTCACGGTGAATTACCTGTTGATTCCTCCTAGTTCTTTGAACTACTCTCACATTACATCCATTTGCTAAGTGAAGGTGTGGCTCAGAGAGGCTAAATAGCCTGCAGGAAGACACATAGCTGTCACAGGTGCAGTGACAACTCGGCCTGAGCTCATAAAGAACTTTCTTCGCCACTAAGATGTTTCCCTGCCACAAGCACCAGCTCCACAGCACTGGGGCACTACCCCACCATGCGAAGGCCAACCCTGGACAGGCAGCCTCCAGCCTCCAGCCTTGGTCTTCTGGGGACATCCCATCTCCCTTCCAAACATGGCAGGTATTATTAGTGCTGAGGTTTTCCCAGCAAGGCAGCAGGATTGAAGTTTGGTGAAAACGTGGTCTTCTGGGCCCTGAGGGTTGGGCTCCTGTTGCTCTATAGGAGAGCAAAGGGGCCCAGAGGACCTGGTGTGGGGTCCGTGTACGCAGCAAGCCCCAATTATGCTTTGGTTGTGGCTGAGGGGGGACTGGGGTTACAGGCCACTCGAGCCCTCCCTTCTCCCCATCAGTGTCCGCCTGGCCCCTTGGCAGGTAGAGTGGAAGTGGTTCCTAAGCCTTCCCAACACAGCTGGGTCACCTCTCAGAGAGGACTGAGTGACCGGAAAGACTGTCACACAGCTTCCCAGGTGACGACCACCCACGTGGTGCTGTGGGCTAGGCAGTTCCTGTCAGACATAAAGTGAGACTTATGCACCTTGGAGCTCTGGGAGCTGCTTCTTCCTGCCAGGAGAGCAGAGGTTAGCTGGGGCACGCCTCCCCCCGGTTACACAGCCCTGTGTGGACATGAGTGAGCACCACACCCCTGCCAGCCTCCAGAGGGTCAGGAGCTGGGACTTGGAAAGGCACAGGTGGGAAGATGACTGGCTCCACTTGCCTGATGAGGAAGCAGAAGCTCAGAGAGGTTCAGCCTTGTGCCTGAATCTCCAGGTTAAGGGGCAAGGGCAAGGCTTGCACCCTGAAGGGCACCCAGCCATGACCACAGGCCTCTCAGCACCTGCCTGGGGAAGATGTGGGGGTGGGGTGAGCACAGAGAGGAACCTTGGTTTTATTTAGTATTTTTAGTTGTCTTCATTTTTAGGTGGTGCTGAGGATGGAACCCCGGGCCTCACAGGCGCTAGGCGAGTGCTCTACCAGGAGCCACAACCTCAGCTGCCCCCACCTTGACTTTGATCAAGTGGCAGGATAGGGTGAGGGGGGCAGAAATAATGAAAAACCAATTTTCACAGCAGGCTTGGTAGGAATGGGGAGCTGCAGGAGCCAGGACGAGTTGCTGCTTCCCATGACCCCTCCTTCCGGAAGACCTCAGGAAGCGCTGTCCCCTGCCTTCCTCTCAGCCTCTTCCTGAAGCCCTTCCCCCACACAGGAGGCCAGCGACCGAGAGGAAGAGCCAGGCAGCACAGCATGGTTTTCCTGCATTGAAGGCTGTGCCAGAGGGCATCCATCCATCCTGTCCATCCGTCCATCCACGCTCCCCCATTCTATGCCTTTGTATCCCAGAAAGCATTTAAGGCAACTCCACCACTGCGCAGCCACCGAGATGTCCCATTTGGCCCCCACTCACTCG